ACACACACACACACGACACACACACACACACACACACACACACACACACACACACATAAGGAAGCACAACGACGCACCCGTTGCCTGAGACTGGGTTGTAGATGATGATGATGTGGCGGGGATCGGGCTCCGTGCGGCTGTCGCCAAGGCGCTTTGCTTCCTCCATGATCTGGTGATATGATGGGCACACAAATTAAAGGTGGGGATGGTTGAGTATGGAGTGCGAGTGAAGTGCAGCAGGTGCGCGAGAGACACGTGCACAAACAGGCGCCCACACACAGACAAGCACACATGCACACACACACACACACACAAGCACACGCACACAGAGACAAGTTGTACACATGCACACATGCACACGCACAAACAGACGCCCATACACGCACACAGACAAGCTCACACACACACAGACAAGCACACACACACACACACACAGACAAGCACACATGCACACATGCACACATGCACACGCACAAACAGACGCCCATACACACACACACACACACACACACACACAGACAAGCACCCAGAGACAAGTGCACATGCACATGCACATGCACACACACCCCGCCCATGGTCATTGAACTTACGGCTTGACGCTCCTTCTCGACCTTGTCCTGGAGCTTTGGCCACTTGACCTTCTTGCCCTTGGTCTTCTTGGGCTTGGAGGCGCCGCCCTGGGACGAGGACGTGGACGTCTCTGCAGCATCTTCACCAGACGCTTGGCCAGCGTCCTGCGAGGTCGACGCCTCAGCAGCGTCTTCCTCGTCTGCGTCCTCCTTGACGTTGTCATACAAATCGAAGATGTCAGGCTCACCATCCTGTTCGGGGGGTGCAAGGGTGTGGGGGGGGGGAATGGGATGGTAGTAGATTGACAGTGAGTGAATAGGCAGCAACAAACGCAGGCGCCTCGAGCACACAACCAGGCATCAGTACACAAAGCTTGCAGGTGATCTTGTGTGTGCGTACGTGTGTGTGTGTGTGCGTGTGTGTCGGTTCCTTGCTCGTACCGCTCCTCTCCCTTCTCAGTTACAAGCCCCACGTGTCCACACTTATTCCACAGACTCATTCACTTTTCGACAGCCGCACCTGCTCGTCGTCCATGGGGAACATGTCTGCGAGCTCCTTGTACGTGGCGCACTTGTCCCTGCCATACTTGTCTGCCAGCTCGTGGGCCTCCTTCTTCGCCTCGGACTTTGTGCAGCGCTTGCTGCGGCGCATGTCCCGCGCGCCGGATCCAACAGTCATTCGCCGTGGCATGATGCTCGCAGTCGTGTGTTGCTGTTGCTGTGTGAGGTGGAATGCGATGTGTGTTGTGGCGTGTGTGGTCTGGGTTTTGATATCGTGTTGTTGTTGTGTTGTGTGGAGAAGTGGGGCAGGGAGGAACGCGGCGTCGCCACACCCCATTTGATAATTATTTATCGTGTCGTGTCTTACAAAGACGACGCGACATACAAAAATAAGGTAAGGAGGGCGAGGGGCAGCAGACACAAACACAATGCACATGCACACACAGACACATGCACGCACATACAGACACACAATGCAGACACAGACACAAACACGCACGTACAGACACACACACACACATGCACACGCACACACACAGGGCAGCCGCTACACCATTTCATCGTCATCATCCATGAAGCCAAGGTTGGATTGCGAGTTCTGGGAAGAGGGTGGCGACAACATCACTTCTTCTTCCTCCTCTTCTTCCTCGTGAGCGACTGTGACTGCATGTGTCGCTGTGGAGCCCGCATCTTCCACACGGGACCCTGGCTCCACACCCTGCTCTTGTTGTTGCCGCATCGCTGGCACCACCTCTTCTTCTGCACCCAAGTCCTCCCCCTCTTGCTGCTGCTGTTCGTGGTGTTCGTGGTGTTCGTGGTGTTTGGGCTGTGTGGGCTGTCTCTTCTCCAACAACGCCACGACGAGGTCTCGCAGCGTCGCCACTGTCGCCTGCAAGTCATTCACCGTGCCCTCCAGCCGATTGATCTGCGCACGTGTGCACGCGTTTTGGTTGCAGTGCAATTTGGTGAGGTGACCGGAAGCGAAGAGGCAAAGGGGCGTGACGACAAAACACACGTGTACGACAGAGAGAGAGAGAGAGAGAGAGACAAAAACACAGACACAGACACACAGACACGCATACCTGGTGTTGTTGCTGTTCAACTTGCTGTAGAAGCGCCGTTCTGTCATCTGCAGCATCGACCACACGCCTGTCGTGTACAGCGGTCGTTGTCTGGCCGAGCTGATGTTGGTGATGTCGTGGGACTGCGTGAGCATCCTGTCTTCTTCGAGCGACCGCTGCCTGCCCATTGTCAGCTGCACGTTTGCCGCCCGTGTCATGTTGCTGGCCACCACCACCACCACCATCATCATCACCACCACCATCACCACCACCACCATCGTGCGTACTCGCGTCATCGGCCACCTCCACCCTCCTCCCGTGTGACACATCTGCTTCATGCACCTCCACTGGCGCGGTGTGCTGTTCCCTGCCACGAACATCATCACCACCATCACCGCCACTACCACGCATCGTGCTGTCGGCGTGTGGCACTGCAACCTCTGCTGTCGTTGTCGCTCCGTGCTCATGCAAGGCGGCCACCACCGCTGCCCCAGCATCGTGATCATGTTGTTGTTGTTGTTGTTGTTGTTGTTGTTGTTGTTGTTGTTGTTGTTGTTGTTGTTGTTGTTGTTGTTGTTGTTGTTGTTGTTGTTTGCGTGTGTCTGGTGACGTGGGCTCTCGTGTGCTGGCTTCCTCCTCTTCATCGTGTTCCACTGCCCCCGTGTTCTTCCCAGTGAGGGTGTGTGCCATCGTCTTGAGACGCTGGCGTGCAGTCGTCACGTCATCACACACGCGCCGCCGCACCAGCACCTCGCACAAAACGTCCCGTGCAAGCGCACACAGCCCGCCGCAATCAAACAGCGCGAGTTTCTGTCGTGCCTGTCGCCGATAATAGGTTCGTTGGGGGGGCGGATGCGAGTTGGTGCGTGAGTGGACTTGGTGGCAGGATCGGGCAAACATGTAGAGACACACATACACACAGACAAATGAAACACACACACACAAACAAACAAACAAACAAACAAACAAACAAACAAACAAACAAACAGGCACAAAGCAGTAGCGTCGCGTGTGCAAGGGCACCACTGCACCTGCTGTCTCAGCGGAGGAAAGATGGTGGAGACGGGGAGGAACGGGAGTGGAAGCGCCTGCTGCTGAATGTGCGGTCGGTGTTTCGTGCTCTCGGACCACAACTCCTCCAGCTCTCGTCGCTCAACGTCATCGTGGATGTCAGACAGCAGCTCTGACAGCGCCTGCACGTGCAGGGGAACGGGGAGACGATGGGAGGGGAAGGTGAGAAAGAGGAAGAAAAAGGAGAGAAAGGGTCGGGCAATACCGCACTCAGCAGTGTGACTTTGAAACACGCAGACATTCACATACACGTTTACACACACACACGCACATGCGCACGCATGCACACCTTGTTCGTGGCAGCGGCTATCCTTCCAGCTCCAGGCGTTGCGTTGGCGTCACCGGACCACACATCCGCACCGCCGCTGCGAGCAATGAATGTGCACAAGCGGCGGAGCGGCGCCATGGTGTGCAGCGAGATGCTCACCGCACAATCGAGACACCTGTGTGTGAGAAAGGGCGCAAGGGGGTGAGGACTTGGGGGCGTGTGTGTGCGTGTGTGTGTGCGTGTGTGTGTGTGTGTGTGTGTGTGTGTGTGTGTGTGCTGGGCAAAGCGTATTGCATCGCAGGCGGTGTCATGAGGGATGAGTAGAGTTGTACCTCGTCCAAGCAGGCAGACACACACACACACACACACACACACACACACACACACACACACACACACACACACACAAACACACAGGCACAGACACACAGGCACAGACACACGTACCCTGTGGCACGTGCGGCCTCTGCTGGGGTGCGGCCCGATGAGTCCTCCAGTGTCGGGTTGGCGCCATGGAACAGCAACAGCTCACACAACTCGCTGTGATGCAGATGGCAGTTTGGATGGGAGCGCACGTGTATGAGAAGGTGGTAACTCATGTACGTTCGCATGTCACACGCAACACATGTTCTCCTTGTCAACCTCGTGCACGAATGCACGCTTGCGCTTACGAGCAATCCACTTACAGCTGGCCGCAGGCTGCAGCAATGTGCAGGAGGGAGGCTGTATGACCAGACACAAGCACAATTTGGTGGTTCGCACGTGCGCCAGAGGCAAGGCATGTAAACGCCGTGAAGACGTTGTCCGTGATCACCGCCTCCACAAGGCCCTGGCCACAAGCACGGCAGCATATGGGGTTTGTGAAAATTGTGAGCTTCGTGAGTGTGGCGGGATATGGAATCAGTTCGCACCCCCGCTTTTCCAAGCACAAGCCACCAGGTACCTTCTGAGCTACAGCTGCGTCCATGGGCCGCACAAAGGCTTTGTCTTGGTATTTGGCCCGAATAAACGCCACAAGATCCCTGCGAGCGCGCGCGCACGCGTGTGTGTATGCGTGTGTGTGTGTGCGTGTGTGTGTGTGCGCGTGTGTGTGTGTGTGTGTGCGTGCGTGCGTGCGTGTGTGTTTGTGTGAGAATGTAAGTGGGGATGTAGGGGAGAGAAAGAAAGTAAAAAGAAAAAATAAAAAAAAAGACGAAATAGCTAAATCAAAAAATAAAATAAAAAAATAATCACACAGAAAATAACGAATGGAGGAAGAAGAGAGGAGGGCGGTGGCTATAACGAACGGGACGTGACGCGTAAGGACAAGAGGGGCACAAGACTAGACATGGTCGGTGAGACGGCAAAAGGGCGCAGAGGACGTGGCATGCGGACGCGAAATAAGGACGACTGACACAACGAGAGGGAATAAATCATATCAGCGATACTCTA